ATACAATTTTGATTTGACAAATCTAAGGGAGTCTTCCTGTGGATAACATGATAGTCTTTCATCAACAATTTCAAGATCTTTTAATAAGTTGAGTACATTAATGGTTTACTTTAATTAAGCACAAATGTTTCTATAATAATGTTAATCATAAAAATTGTCATTGTATCACAATATCCAAATTCTTAAATGCTACATTTTTTTACTTGAAAACACAATTGTATGCTTTGACCAAATTGTCTTACAGCAACTACAGGGAAAATAGCTATAATAATAATAATAATAAAAGAAATGCAAAAAGAAGGTTTCGCACATCATTCATACATATAGATGTATTGAAGATAACGATGAACAGATATGCGATGACAACAACAATAATGACCATTTGACAAGACTGTATACACTAACAAGCATTTAATTCTTGAATGTACATATTATATTGTCAACACCTTAACTTTGTTTTTGCCATACTATCACTACCATCTTGTTAACCCTCTATAATTAAACAGTAACAAGTTAGGTAATTCATACAAGATGTTCTATCTACTTGTAAACATTTATCAAGAAAATCTTGTAAGACTGGTGACAGATTATCTTTTTTTTTCAATGTCTGGCTTCCCATTTGTTGCTATTAGATACAATACCTGAAAAATGAGTGTGACCTGATGACTAACAACACAAAATAATTTTGATAATAAAAAATATATGTATATATATATGTATAATAAAAAATAATACATATTAAACATTATAACCAATACTGTTAGTGACACTAGCATTATAGAGGTAGAATATACCTTATTTACAAAACACACAAATACTATCTGCTTCATGCACTATTACCAAATCCCCGTCTCTTGACAACCATAACATCAGTATGGATGAATCCTAACAATGTCTAAATGGCTCCAAAATTAAAACTTTAGAGTAGTTTAGACAAACGACCCACAGCCTCTGAACTCTTAAAAGTATTGTAAAAATTACTGTTATATTAATAAGACATTTTCTTTTGATTTGAACATTTTATCTTAATGACATAAATCAATATCATTAAATGTAAGAATTCATTGTTATTCTTGGCTGTTCATCTTACAGAGTGAGAACTTTAACTTAATAATTTAATATTTATTTTCTAATATTCATAATTCTCATACAATATCAACTTTTACTGCTGAAAAAAATAGTATAATTTTTACATCCCTGACCAAGTTTTAATTAAATATTTTATAATTATTTTTTTAATTAAATTAAGCTTATCTTCAGATATTTTAAATTTTAATGCATTTACCATTCATTAAAAACACGCTTGATTTTTACTGTATTTTGTATGGTTCATCTAAGGATGAAAAAAGATTTATTTCAGTGTTAGCATTTTTCCTTGTCAATGTTCAAACATAAACATGGTGTACACTGTAAACTACCTACAGAAAAAATACAAGTATTCCATGCAAGTAGAATAGTAATAACTTTGTTATACGTATAAATTAAATAAGATACAATTTGTTTTTTTGCTATTAAGAGTTACCTATTTGCTGTATTTCCATAAATTTTGCAATAGCAAATGTTTTTGTCATTATAGTAGTACGTAGCTTGATAATCTCAAATATCTAATATTTATAAAATAAGTAAGTTTTATGACTTGCAGATTTTCCATGTTAAAAAACATTTGTCAGTTCATGAATGAACATAACAATTTTATCAGTAGAAACTTCAAACTTGAAGACATTTTATTACAGAGGAAATGTTAAATATGAATTGTAATAGATTCTTCTGCAATGCTTGTTGGATTTACAGTACTGTTACGTCTCCGTTTGTTAATTGATTTTTTTTCGTAACTTCGTTCCGACGAAACTTTAACGACACGAGTCTTTACTTAATAAAAC